CAGTCACAGTGTCTTTTGACTGGCAACTCCAGAGCATCTGTGGGCAATCACTCTGCTTCACAGATTACTCAGCCACCGACTCAGGTCCATTTGACCTCCACCACATTCTCACTGCTGCCACCTTAAGTCAAGCAATCATCACCTCCACCAGGACTACTTCACCTGCCATGTAACTGGGCTGATTCTAGTTTGTCCCCTAGCCACCCTCCCCAAATCCTACAAAGGCAGGTCATTAATCATTCCGATGCTCAGCTTGAATCAAGCTGCTCTCCAACTCAAAAGCCTTCTTCCATGGTTCCCCATTACTTAGGGAACTAAAGTTCAACTTTCTTAGACTGGCATTCAAAGTCCTCCATAAGATGGCTCCAACTCACCTTTCCAGTCTTACCTCACACTTCCCTCCCACACTCTGCTCTCATTGTTCCTCCAAACCTATCCCAAGCATTCTGGACTGTGAACCTTTCGGAGTATCTCTCTCCCTCTCTCTCCCTCTCTCCCTCTCTTTCTCTCTCTCTCCCCCTCCTCTCCCTCTCTCTTTCCTCTCTCTCTCTCACCTCTCTCCCTCCTCTTTCTCTTCTCTCTCTTCTCTCTTTCCCTCTCTCTCTCTCTCTCCCTCTCTCTTTCCTATCTTTCTCTCTCTCTCTCTCCTTCTCTCCCCCTCTCTCTCCTTCTCCCTCTTCTTTCCTCTCCCTTTCCCTTACCTTCTTTCTGTCTCCTTACATCCCCCAACAATCCCTCAATCCCAATCCCTAACAACTGAATTCTACTCAGTCTTCCAAGCCCACTTATAATGTCAGTGAACTCTCATTGGGTTTTGTTTATGCTTCTCTAATGGCCCCTAGTAATAATGTAATAATAGATAGCATTTATAGAGGGCTTTAAAATTTGCAAAGCACTTTGTAACTATCTTGTTGGTGCCTCACAACCAGTAGATGCTATTATTATCCCCATTTTACAGATGAGGAAACTGAGACAGACTGAGGTAAATGACTTGCCCCTGGCCACACTGGCAGGAAGTCTCAGAGGTTGGATTTGAACTCAGGTCATCCTGACTCCAGGTAAAGAACTATCCATTGCACTGCCTCTACCTGCCCAGCCCGCCCAGGATTACTGTTATATGTACTTGCCTTAGCCCACACACTAGACTGTATACTCCTTGAGGGCAAGGACTGAATCTCATTCTTCTCTGTCTTCCCCTGAGTAACTTAACATGTAATTAAGTGCTAAGTGGGCAACTAGGTGGTTCAGCGATAGAGGCTAGGCCTGGAGTGAGGAAAACCTGAATTAAAATCCAGTCTCAGACACTTCCTAGCTGGATGACCTTGGGTAAGTCATTTAACCCTGTTTGCCTCAGTTTCCTCATCTGTAAAATGAGCTAGAGAAGGAAATGGTGAACCACTCTAGCATCTCGGCCAAGAAAACCTCAAATGGGGTCCTGGAGAGTCCGAAATGACTGAAATGACTGAAGAACAACCAAAAAGTGCTAAGTCACTGAGTGGGCACACTCTCCAGGTGCCCCAAGAGCTTGTCAAGTGGTTGGAGGTTGGAGGTTTACTCTCAAGTTGATTTCCCCTCTCCTGGTTCCCCACTTTCCTTGCACATTTCCATACCATGCCACCCAAGTGCTGTTTGCTAAAAAAGATTTGAAAAATAACAAAAAACTCATTTTAGTATTTAGCATTATCTGCAACAAAATATAATAACAGAATGAACTCCAAAATGCAAAAGAAATGGCTTGGGAATGATCCTGAGGGATCGTCCAAATCCCTCCTCTCTGGCTTTGCTATGTCCACCTCTCCGCATCTTAACTCTCGGAGCTGACCCTGATACTGCCAAACTGATGTCAGGGAGCCCCATGCTAATTGCTTGTTAGTAAACAATAATTCATTACTGATTAAAACCTACTCCTCCAGAAAATCTTCATAGATTAACCTCACCCACCACAATCATTCCTCTGCTTTATCTTCTTACACAACAGGCATTGAGGTATACTCATTTGAACTTGTTGCTATATGATTTGGTCGGTATGGTGTGTGTGTGTGTGTGTGTGTGTGTGTGTGTGTGTGTGTGTGGCCTGAGAGCAGGGGTCATTTCTATTGTTTCAGGTGCTCTCTGGCCCTGTTTGAGGTTGTTTTACACACAACAGGTTGGCGCTGCTTGAATACAAAAGGATCCCAGATTCCTGGTGGTCCTTGGGTACTGGAGGTGAAAGTGGAGCCAAAAAGCTTCAAGTCTTGGGGGAACTAGAGATCAATCAGTCAGCAAGCATTTATTCAGCCTGTGCCTGCTTGCCAGGTACCATCCTAGGCCCTGGAGATGCTAAGACATACACTAAAGCAATCCCTCCTCTCAAGGGGCTTGCATTCTAATGAGGAGGGAGAAAATAAGGCCATACAAAATAATTCCACCTGTGACTGTGTGACCTTGGGCAAGTCCCTCTGCCTCTCGGCGCTCTGGGCAACCTTCTAAGACGGGGGTCCTCAACCTTTTTGTGTGTCCTGGACCCCTGCAGCAGTCTGCTGAAGCCTAGGGACCCTTCTCAGAATCTTATTTTTAGACACAAAAACTCACAGGATGACCAAGGAAATCACTTCTGTTGACATAGAGTTACTAAAATATTTTTTATAAAAACAAGATCAGGGAAACAAGATGAAGAAAACCTGCCTACAACTACACATTTCAGAGAAGGTGGAAGCCTGCTTTGGGAGAAGGAGTGGTCCTATCCAGGAGGTTCCCTATACCAACGAAATCACAGGTTTCAGTCCTCTCCATCTCTTCAGCACAAACAGCTCACTACAGGGCAATTTGAGAGGGAAGTCCCTGGTGGGGGGGGGGGGATGAGGGAAGGCCGCAGGTAGGAAGAAGGCAGTCTTTGAGGAGGGGGACTCTGGAGCAGAGGTGATGGAGGGAACAAATGCGGGGAGGGGGTCTTAGGAGGACCAGAGAGAGGCCGATTTGGCTGGATCTCGGAGCATGGGATGCAGAGCAGTATCTCTTGAATCACAGCTGAGATTCAACCAAGAAAAACCTCAACGATCCCCCCAGCTAGTAAATAAAATATCCGTACGGGGTTTACAGTTGCATCAGACTGAGGCCGGAGAGCAGGTTTCTCAGATCAGGTCTTGGTTCGCCCGGGAAGCCCTTGCTGCATTTTCTAGCACGCCCCAGTTATGCTGGTAACCAGTTAAACCACGCCAAGCTTTCGGTGGAGGCAGCTGCTTGATTAGGAATGATGTTTTATCACCTACTAAGGACTGACCTCAGTTGGGGGTGGGGAGGGAGTGGTTTATCTAAATGGAGAAGGTTACTAGAGTTTAAGATGCCTGGTTCCTCTCCTCGGGGTAGGTTCCCTTACCAAGGGGTAGGTCTGGCCCTTCTTTCTTCTCCTATCCTATGTTCCCCTATTCCTTATCTCAGAGCCCAATGACAATCGTCTACGAAAGTCAGGAACGATTCTGGGGTGAAAGGCAGGATGTTTGCATCTGGAAAGAAAGGACCACAGAGCTCGAGTCCAGTCTAGGTAATCTCAATCATCATCTCTATACAGATGACCCTCAGCTCTACTTGTCCTGGGGCCTCCAAACTCATGTCTCCAACTGCCTTTTGGGCAAGAAAGACATCTCAAACGCAACCGACGTCATTATGTTTCTCCTCCCGCTCCCATCACCCCCCAAACCTGTGTCAAGGACACTACCGTCCTCCAGTCACCCTAGGCTCCTGGCTCTTTTATCAACTTCTTCCCCGCCTCCATATCTAATCAATTACCAAGTCCTGTCAAATCTGCCATCTCTTGTATACACCCCCTTCTCTCCTGCGACACTGCCCCGACTCTGGTGCAAGCCCTCCCCACCTCACACCTGGACTGTTGCAATAGCTGCAGGCCGGGGTGGGGGCAGGGGGCCTGCCTGCCTCCAGTCTCTCCTCACTTCCACCATCTTCAACTCAGCTGTCAAATGGTTCTTCCTAAAGTGTAGGTCTGACCCTGTCACTCCTCACCCCAAAAACCCCCAGTGGCTCTCTATTGCCTCCAGGATCAAATAGAAAATGCAGAGGCTTTCAAAGCTCTTTATAATCTGTCTGCTTTTCCAGTCTTCTTATATCTTATTCTCCTCTGTATAATCTGAGATGTAGTGACTGGCCTCCTTGCTGTTCCTCACACAAGACACTCCATCTACCAACAAGGAGTATTTTCATTGGCTGTCCTCCAGGCCTAGAGGTCTCCTCCTGGCTTCCCAAAATTCTCAGCTGAAGTCACACCTTCTGCAAGAAGCCTTCCCTGGGTGCTCCTTCATCCTAGCGCTTTCCTCTGAGATTGCCCTGTATTCACCCCGAATGTACCTTATTTGTACATAATGGTTTGCATGTTGTCACTCCCATTAGACTGTGAGCTCCTCGGGAGCAAGGATTGACTCCCCAGTGCTTAGCATAGTACCTAGCACATAGTAGGTGCTTATTAAATGCCAGCTGATTAGTCAACAATTCTGTTGTTTTACAGATGAGAAAACAAGTCCAGGGACACAGGTAGGAAGGCAAAGAGGTGGAATTTTAACTCAGATTCTCTGAACTCCATTTAGCTTCAGATGCTAAGTGAGAATGTCTTGGGATTTGGCACAGAGATGCCTGAATGTTAATTAGGAGGAAAATATACAAGGACTGGAGGGAGAGGACATTTACATCGTGGGAAGGAAATGAGACTTGGGTGGGGGAAGTCAAGGACTAGGGGGCAGGATAATTGGGTCCTAATACCAATCCCCGTGAATAACAGGTTTGCCTTGTCTTCATCCAATCCCCAGGTCTGTGAACAGCTCTATTGATGCCCTACCTTCCCAGTGCCTGGGGCAGAGCTGGGGTTGTGAAATCATTTGCAAATGGGTAACAGCATGGTACTCCCTCCCTGAGCCCAAGGGATGGGTGGTGGGATTTAGGGGTGAGTCAGTGGGGTGGGACCCCTAACTCTCTACACATTCTCCTCCTGGGAGATATAAAGGACAAGGGCTGGGGCCACGCCTCAGAGCACCCCAAACCAGTCATCATGAAGGTCCCTGTCCTTTCCATCATCATTCTGCTCTCTCTCCTGGCTGTCCAAGCTGCCCAGGGGGCTGCCCTAGGAGACTCTCAGGTAAGCACGTGTCTATTTTTTTCTTATCCCCTCTATGAGCCCTCATGCTTTCTCTTCTTTGGCTGGGGGAGAGTTGGCATCCATGGACTTCCACTTCATTTCTTATAATGGGTAATTCAGAGTCTGAATCGATGAACTAGTGGCCAGGAGGGCTCAGGGCCAGGGTGGGCGAGAGGAAAAGCATATCTGGCTCTCAGTTGGGAAGAATGCCTATATTCTTGGGAAGGAGGACCGGAGGTCTGTGTCCTGGGATAAAAAGCAAGCAGAGGCTGATTGAACGCCTGAGCTCCAAACACCATGTGCTACCACTTTCATCCCTGCGGCTCTTCATTTTAAAGTGCAGATGACACAGAGAGCCTAGGATTTGGGACAATCCTAAGTCCTCCATGGATGAAGGGGTGTGTGTGTGTGTGTGTGTGTGTTTGTGTCTACACACATATACTATATATACACACACACACATATATATATATATAAATGTGTTTATTTCTTTTTTTTTTTTTGGAAATTGGGGTTAAGTGACTTGCCCAGGGTCATACAGCTAGTGAGTGTCAAGTGTTTGATCTGAGGCCAGATTTGAATTCAGGTGCTCCTGACTTCAGGGCCAGTGCTCTGTCCAGTGCTCTACACCACCTAGCTGCCCCCTATAAATGTGTTTCTATATAGTTGTTTAATATTGACTTCATCAGAGAGAAAGAAGCAATAGTGGGGCTCTATCTTCTCTTGAGAGCAGAAGTCACTAGGTCATGATGGAAACTTAAAGTGTATGATGTATGATGGGGAAGGGGTGTACTAAAGCTCAAGGCAGACAGGACAGAGTGCATTGAGGTGGGAGGGAAAGCAATGTGAAGGAGTACAGAGATTTGAGGAATAGGGCCATAGATTTTGCACTGGAATGGCTTGACCTCTGAGGTCATAGAGTCCATTTTTCATAGAATGAGAGAGGTTGAGTGATTTTTCCCACGGTCACAAAATCAGTGTCTGGGACGGGATTTGAACTCAGGTCTTGCTGACTACAAGCCCACTGTGCCATCTTGTGGAAGCCTGAAACACGACAGTGCCCGTTGGGAAAACCAGGCATCCTGACTCTTTGGTTCTGAAGATTATCTGTTAAATAACATGAATTAGCTTTTCATGTGAAGATTTCTCTTTTCTCCTTGCCTACCAATGACTAGATTGGACAGCTGAAAATTCAGGAAGATATGGCCCCCAAATCCTCTTCTGGTCCCATTCTTGTTACTCACCAAACTCCCCATCTTCCCCTCCCTCCTATCCCCACCCCTCTTCCCCAGGCCCGGCCACTAAGATAGAGAAGATAAACTGAGGCTCAGTAGAGATGGCCAGAAAATGGCAAAGCCAAAACATTATTTAGGTCTTTCCTAAGTTCTAAAGAGAGAGGATAGGGGTGGCAGAGACAATGATGATAATTTGGCTTTTTTCATTCCCTTCTCTACTTCCTAGGGAGGGACCACTGCGGCTAATTATGCAGAGAGATCTGAGGTAGGCAATTTCATTTCTTCTCCCTATTTCTTGGTCTTGCCCTTCCTATGCCTTTGAACCCCCTTTCGACATTCTTAATAACTCCATTTCTTTACCTAGAACTCGGATACCCAGTTCCTGAATGTGGACAGATGGCGTTCTGTAAGTATGAGTTTTTGTCTTCCCATTAGGCAAGATTCTACACCCATATTAATTAACAAGCTCCTCTCCCAGACTCAAAAGTTGGATAACTTCATTGTGGGTTCAGGACACTTTGGTGAATGATCTTAGCTCCCTTCATTCAACTTCTCCTTCGGTGTAGGTGCTGGGGTAGGGGATGGCCCCCACCCCTCTCCTCATGGCTCACCTGCTCCTTCTACCCCCTCTCCATACAGGCCTTCCAGTCCAGGGAGTTTCTAAACTGGCATGCCCTCTTTGAGGTAAGTACTTTGCCTCCATGCCTCCTTTCAAGGTAGGGACAGAAGATGCCAGCTCTCAAAATTCTCCCATGTTCTGGGATGGGCAATAGGGAAGATGCCTTTTTTACATATATTCAACAACCTGTCCTGGCAGATCCTGTCCAACAAATTAGCCTACAAAGCTACTGCCAGATGTAGGGGCGAGGGGAAGGGAGAATAGGGAGAGAGCCATAGAAAGAAGCAGAAGTGGTAGTTTCATTCATAGAATTCCAGAATTCTCAAGATAAGAGAGACTTCCGGGATCCTCCCACCCGGCCTCCTCACTTGATGAGAAAAGTCAAGTTCATCAATGAAATGACTGGTGAAGTCCATGGTCACCCAAGTTCAGAAATCCTCAGGTTTAGAGTTGTAAATGACCCCTGAGGACATTCAGTAGTATCCTAAGTTAGAGGACCTAAAGCCCAGGGAAGTTAGTGCCTCGCTTAGGGGCCCACAAATAGTATCAGAAGTAGCATTTGAATCCAGGCTCTCTGAGGCCAGAGCTGCGGGTCACTTCTCAGGACCATCCTGCCTCTGTTGGTCTCCTCTGTCCTTTCCCCTGCACCACCACTGCCATGTGTTCAATATTACCTAGAATGAAAATTTACATAAAGCATTTAGTCAGTCCTAAAGCAGGATATAACATCAGCTAGTAAACAGTTACAGAGCATCTACATCTCTTAGCCATGCTCACTTCTTCCTGCCTCACTGCTCCCATGATACTTTTGGACTATTGAACCATAACCCACGTTTTCTCCTTCCAGGCTATTAAAGAAAAACTCCCTTTCCTCAACTGGGATGTGCTCCCCAAGGTAAGAAGGTGGGGGTGCTGGGAGGGTCCGAGAGGTTTGGAGAGGGTGAGGAGGAAGGGAGGCAGAGGGGATAGATGCAGGGAAGGTTCAGGAATGACCGCCTCCTGTTACCATACATGGGAAATGGGAATCTGGCTAACAAAGCCCAGAGCAGGGTGGGGCCTTGGACTCTTGGGCTTGGAATTCTTGCCTGATCTCACCAATCCCCTGTCTGGGCCTCAGTTCCCTCCCAGAGGTCTCCAGTTCCCTGAGACACCTGGGCCCCCATTTGATCATCTTTTCTCTCCTCTCTCTTCTCCCTCTTTCTAGCTGAAGGGAATGAGGAGTATAGTTCCTGATGCACAGTGACGCCCCACGCTGACACCTTCATAATGAAGCCGTGATTTTCAACACCTAAACTACCCTGGAGAACTGAGGGGACTGATTTGAGATCTGCTTCATGCCAGACATCTCCCCCTGCCCTTATAGTTCAAATAAAGATAATTCCACCTGTGAAACCCTCCTGGGCCCCTCTTTTACTCCTTTGTTCAAGAATGGAGCCAGGAGGGAGGCTGAGGGGTAAGAGAAAGCCAGCGGCAGTACATTCATTCAACTAATACATACTGAGTCTACAAAGCAGTCTGAAATACACTGGAAGCGGCAAGGGTACAAGGCAAGGATGCAAAAGGGACTAAGGCTTTAAGCTCTAAGTGCTCATTTTTAAAAACAGATTTTATTGGTATTTTCTTTTTGCATTGCTTACATTGGCCCCTGTACCTTTTTTCCTCCCCACTTCTAGAGAGCCATCCTCTGCAACAAATGAGACAGAGAGAGAGAGAATTAAGAGACAAATATGTTCTGCAAGACCAATCAACAAGTTAAAAAAAAAACTTTTGTCACATACAACGCACCAACCCCTGCCTGTACAAAGGAAAAGGAGAGGTGAATTTTCATGCATCTTCTTTGGGACCAAGCCAAGCACTTATTGATACAATGTAGGCACAGTAATTTCCATCAGAGAGGTACAAATATAAGTTCAGTAAAATTACATTCATCATAAGAAAGGTACAGAGTGCTACCGACACTAGAGATAGAGTGAGAGCTTTATCTGAGTGATCAACATAGAAGGGAAAATGGAGAAGGAAAGAGGACAATTTTAAATAGAGAATGATTTTAAATAATCATTATGAATTGAATAACCACTATCTGTTACACTCTAGATTAGATGCCATTGAGACTAAGGCATTTAACGGATATTTATATTAAAAGTCTAGGCATTGGGGGAGAACAGGAAGGAGTCTGCTGGTAAATGTTTAACAACTGGCTCTCTAGGTGGGGGGAGTGGAGAAATACCCATGACACACTTATGAGTTAAATCTGCATTCTTCACATTTTCTCCATCACTTTCTTAAGTCTAAAGAATCAACAAAACAATAAAGTAAGTTCTGATTTGTAGTGTTTGCCAGTTTCTAAGGGGTAAATGCTTATACGTAAAATTTAACAATTGGCTCCCTCTCAAGCTATGGAGCTGGTGGCTTCAGCACCATTCTGAGAACAGGATACATAAAATAATACAGGGTCTTTTCTCTTAAATAAATAATGAAATTATATAATTGTTTTAGTTAGAAGGAATTTAAGAGTGATCTAGTGCAGCTCCTTCACTGTATGTACAGCTGAATTTATACTAACTTATCTGATTCTGATCAGGGAAGCTTACAGAGAGGAGACAAATTTCTGATCTGTAAATTGGCAGGACAGAAACTGGTATAGATGTTTGAGGAAAGCAGTCCAGATCAAACCAACAAATAGTTATTGAACTGGTACTCTAAGTGCAAGAACCATAGAGACTGTCAAGAAGGATAAGATATGAGGCTTTACAAATAGCTGAGGAAAGACGGAAAGGGAAAGGGAAAGGAGAAAGGGGAAATATATACCCAACAGATGGAAAAATTCCAAAGAATTTCAAAGAGAAAAGAAAAACGTTTTCTTAAATGAGCAATGCAAAAAAATAAAAGAAAATAATAGAATGGAAAAGATGAGATCTCTCCAAGAAAATTAGAGATACCAAGGGAACATTTCATACAAAAAATGGGCATGATAAAAGATAAAAACGGTAGGGACTTAACAGAAGCAGAAGAGATTAAGAAGTGTCAAGAACACACAAAAGAAAAACGGAAAAAAGATCTTAACATCACTAATAACCATGATGGTGTGGTTACTGATCTGGAGCCAGACATCCTGGAGAATGAAGTCAAGTGAATTCCAGCTGAGTTATTTAAAACCCTAAAAGATGATGCTGTTAAAATGCTGCATTCAATATGCCAGCAAATCTGGAAATTTCAACAGTGGCCATTGGGGTAGAAAAGATCAGTTTACATCCCAATTCTAAAGAAGGTCAATGCCAATGAATGTTCAAATTACCAAACAATTGTGCTCATTTCACATGCCAGAAAGTTTATACTTAAGATTCTGCAAGCTAAGCTACAGCAATATGTGAACTGAGAATTACCAGAAGAGCAGGCTGATTTTCGAAGAGGCAGGGGAATTAGAGACCAAATTGCCAACATTTCCTGAAATATGGGAAAACCAAAAGAGTTCCCGAAAAACATCTGCCTCTGCTTCATCGACTACACTAAAGTCTTTAACTGTGGATCACAACAAAAACACGGCAAGTCCTCAAAGAGATGGGAGTGCCAGGTCATCTTATATGTCTCCTGAAGAATCTGTATGAGGGCCAAAATACAATACGGAGCAAACCAGACAGGGAACAACCAAGTGGTTTAAGATTGAGAAAGGAGTGCAACAAGGCTGTCTATTTTCACTTCACTTATTTAACTTATATACAGAGTACATCAAGTGAAATGCCAGGCTGGATGAATCAAAAGCTGGGCTTCTGGGAGAAATATCAGCAATCTCAGATACGCAGATGATACCACTCTCAGAGAGGCAAATGATATTACTCTAATGGCAGAAAATGATGAGAAATTAAGAAGCCTCTTGATGAGGGTGAAAGAAGAGAGTGCAAAAACTGGCCTGAAGCTTAACATTTAAAAAAACAACCCAAAACCTAAGGTCTTGGCAACTGGTCCCATCACTTCCTGGCAAATAGAGGGAGAAGAAATGGAAGCAATGTCAGATTTGATATTCTTGGGCTCAAAGATCACTGAAGATGGTGACTGTAGCCATGAAATTAAAAGACACTTGCTCCTTGGAAGAAAAGCTGTGGCAAATCTGGACAGCATACTGAAAAACAGACATCACTTTGCTGACAAAGGTTTGTATAGTCAAATCCACAGTTTTTCTAGTAGCAATATATGGCTGTGAGAGTTGGACTATAAGGAAAGCTGAGCACTACAAAATCGACGCTTTCGAATTGTGGTGCTGGAGAAGACTTTTGAGGTCCCTTGGACAAGCAAGGAGATCAAATCAGTCAATACTCAAAGAAATTAATTCAGGCTATTCACTGGAAGGTCAAAAGCTGAAATACTTTGGCCACATAATAAGAAGACAGGACTCATTGGAAAAGACCCTGCCTGATGTTGGGAAAGATTGAAGGCAAAAGGAAAAGGGGATGTCAGAGGATGAGATGGATAGAGAGTGTCATGGAAAAAATGAACATTAACTTGGACAGACTTGAAGAGATAATGGAAGATAGAAAGGCCTGGTGTGCTAGGGTCCATGGGGTTCAGGAAGAATCAGACAAGGCGAAACAACTCAACAACAACAACAACAATATATGGCCCTTGTCTTCCATAGGGTTAGCCTATGCAGAGGTTTGAAAATGGACTACAGGTAGGGAATGAGCAAGAAACTGTCCACAATTTGTCTACTGAGCTTACTTGTGAAGCACTGCTTGTGGAGTGGTTGGGGAATCCTACAGGGTTATATTTTTAAAGCAGCCAAGGGCATGGTCAGAATTGGTACAAAACATACCCCCCAAAAGTCTAGGGCACATCCCACAAGGACATACAAAGTCAAGGAGAAAGTGGCTTTAGGCTTAGAGAGATTATGCTGCAAAGGGGTGAATGTGTAGCTCTTGGCTATGGGAAGTCTCATTCTCTGTTGGGTCCTCAGCAAGGTCCCTCGTGTTATGATGTAGCTTTCATGGGGCTCCTAAGTCCTGAAAACACCTCTCTCCATGGGGTCCACTCTATCCTTACTTCCCTAGGCAGTTGCCGCCCTTAAACACAGACTTTTTGAGAACACTACTACCATCACAGGCGGGAAATCCCAAATCTTCCAGCCCTCTGAGGTGACTTGGTCAAAGTCACATTGGTGGTAAAGGTTGGATCCTGGATTCAACCCAAAGTCCTCTAATGCCAAATCCAAGGTTGTTTCTCCTGCATCCCAATGTCTCTTGAGGCAACTAGGTGGTGCAGTGGATAGAATACCAGGCCTGGAGTTAGGAAGACCTGAATTCAGATTCAGCCTCAGATACTTCCTAGCTGTGTGACTCTGGACAAGTCACAAATCTCTATCTGCCTCAGTTTCTTCCACTGTAAAGTGAAGATAATAATAGCACCTAATTCCCAGAGTTTTTGTGAGGATTAAATGGTATATTTTCAAGGTGCTTAACATGAAGTCTGGCATATAGTAAGTGCTATAGAAATGCTTATTGCCTTCCCCTTCAACTGAAGTAAAAAATGCAGGGGTAATAATCATGATTTTAGGCAAGGCAAAAATAGACCTACTTTTAAAAATAAACAATGAAACTACATTTTGCTAAAAGGTTCCATATACAATGATCTGATAGTAATACTAAAAATACGTCATTTTTGCCAAATGGCATAGCATCTAAATTCTTAAAGGAAAACTTAAATGTGTTACAGGAAGACATATACAGTAAAACCATAGGAGTGGGGAGACCTCAATTTACCATTCTCAAACCTAGATAAATTGAACCAAAAAATAAACAAGAAAGTAGTTAAAGATCTGAATAGATTTTTTTTTTTTAGGCAATTGGGGTTAAGTGACTTGCCCAGGGTCACACAGCTAGTAAGCATCAAATGTTTGGTCTGAGGTTGGATTTGAACTCAGGTCCTCCTGACTTCAGGGCTGGTGCTGTATCCACTGAGCCACCTAGCTGCCCCCTAAATAGATTTTCAAAAAAAGTTAGGTATAACAGACCTCTGGAGAATACTGAATGGGAAATGGATGGAGTATACCTATTAAAAAGAGCATACATTTAACAAAAACTAACCATGCACTAGGGCATAAAAACCTCACAAACAAATGCAGAAAAGCAGAAATATAAAATTGCATCTTTTCCTGACCATAATGCAATCACAAATTATTTTCAATAAAGGGCCTTTGAAGCAAAGATTAAAAATTAATTGGAAACTAAATAACTTAATCCTAAAGAATGGATTGGTCAAAGAACAAGTTATGGAAACAATAAATAATTTCATTAAAGATAATGCTAACAATAAGACAAAATATACCAAAATTTATGGGATGAAGCCAAACTAGTAATTAGGAGAAATTTTCTGTCTCTAAACTCTTTCATCAATAAAAGAAA